ATGGATGGATGGATGGATGGATGGATGGATGGATGGATGGATGGATGGATGGATGGATGGATGGAGGGTGTTTACAATTCCCTTTTTGCTTAACGGTGGGAGACAAAAATGTAATATGTAATCTGGCAAATATTTATTCTGCTGTACTGAAATTGTTTCTAATAGTTAAATTAGAAGCAGAGGTTTATTTTAGCCATTAGGGAGAAAATAATTCCACCCACACAGACCGAGCTGTAACTTGAAAATTCAAGTTGGTTCACAGCTTTTTTTTTTTTTAACTGTCCTTACATAACCCTCCTCAATCAAATATTTACAGGCGGATACTTTTTAGAATAAAGTCTCAATCCTCAGTTTAAATATTAAAACAATAAAGTTGTTTAAAGATAATCAAATGTCTTGTTTATTTCTTTGTTTAACTCTGAATTTCTGATTATGTTTGGCTCATTTTTAATTTTTAATCTAATGTTTTAACTCCTAAATCAAGTCAATTCAAGTCCAATTTATTTATAAAGCCCATTTAAAACAGCACCTGCTACCAAAAGTGCTTAAAATCAAGACTAAAGCAATATAAATAAATAAATGGACTGCACTTATAACCTTTCCATCTTATCGGGATACTCAGAGCTCTTTACAACAATCTGTGTCTCATTTACCCATTCATAATTGAACAAATCATTCTAAAGAGACTAATCAGAGATTTATCACATTCATACACTGATGGACACATCAGAGGCAACGAGGGGTTCAGCGTCTTGCCCAGTGACACTTCGACATGTGACTGCTGGTGGAATCGAACCCCCAACTCTTGCATTGTAGGAAGACTGCTCTAACCACCCATCCACAGTCGCAAAAAAACTAATAAATAAAATCACTTTGATAATTAATTAAACAAAATGAACACATTTTTGATGCTTCTTACATAGTCCAGAATATTGTTTTTATGCTACTAGTGATTAGCATACGTTTAGTTTTAGTTTTCTTAGTTCATATCTTAGATCTTATTACTGTTTTTCTTTACATTTTATTCTTTGTTGGATGGGACCATGTGTACACAATTTCGTTCCACCACATGTACCACATGTATGACAAATAAAGAAACTTTGATACTTCAGCACAGAATTGCACTTCTGGAATGGAAGTGATTTACTGAAAGTAGAAGCACTCTCAAATATTGAACGCTAGTACCGATACACTCCGACATGTTGGCGTACTGTAGCTAATATCATAGGTTGGTGTAAATTTAGAACATGGTAAATATAAAAAAAAAATTTTAAAAAGACAAAACAACTGGATTTTTATTCTGTAGTTGAAGACGTGCAGTTCTGATGTGTGATATCAATTTTCGATTGATATGTATTCCCTTATTTCAGTGCTATAAAAGTCAAGCGATATGTGACATTGGTCAGACTGAGGTTGCTTCAAAAAACATTGCAAATTTACCAGATTTAGTACCACATGTGACAGTGACCTGGGTCAAATCTGGAAGAAAATAAATAAATAATGGATCTGTTACATTCAGATTGTCAAGAAATAAAAATAAAAATGTTTTAAAAAATATCAGATATTGGCCGCATATGGGCCAAACAATTGGATTTAGTCCACCTTTACCTGCAGTGTGAACAAAGATTTAGAGGGGTTTTAATCAGATTGGCTGAAATGGGCTTCCATAATTTTGGACTGAAAATTAGTGTAAAAGAAGTTTAAAGAAAAATGTACATATAAATAAATGAGGAAACACATGAGGGACTATTGAACAATGTCATATTTAAAAATTCTATTAAAACTTATTGCCTCCTACTTGGAGAGAAGAGGTTCTCTGCAGATTTACAGACTTGGAGGACTCTGCTGCCCCACAATGCACCTGGAGGAAAATGTTTTGGTGACGTCATGCGTCGCTGAAGAAGAAAACAGCAGCGGGTGGGCTGCAGCTGCACTTTCTGCTGTTTTTTCCTTGCAAATTACGCTACCACGATATTTAAAACCAATGGCTGGAGGTACAGACGGCCCAGAATGAACTAATAGCAGCACTTCATGCCAGGTAGGTGTGCGTTTGTGTTTAATCTGTGATTTTTTTGTTAACAGTCCTCGGCCGGCTGTCAGACGGCGCTTTGTGCTTTAGCTCTCAGGCTAACGGTCGGTCCGAGCGGCGCCTCTGAGTCGCCTGGGATCGGACAATACACCTCCTGTTAGTGGCCTGTTGGTCCCAGCACACTACCAGGCCTTCATGTGACGAGGTCTACAGCGAACACGTTTCTGAAAGATTTCTAGTTCAGAGACTCCAGAGTTTATGGTGTTTAAATTTAAAGTTAGCTTGCAAGCTAGTGGAGTGTTGTTGTCTGAGACTGCAGAGCCAGATACGACCGACTGATTTCTTCTTTGTAGCAATACAAATCAGCTTTTTTTAAACAACTTATTCACATGAATAAAATTAAATACAGACATTGAATTTGTTGAAATGTCTAAATCTGAAACAATAGTGCTTAGCCTAAACCCAAACGTTGCATCCGTCCGTTCTCTTTACCCGCTTCTTCCTTTTGGGGTCGCGGGGTCACCGGTCGTTTTTTAAAAATATAACAATACAATTAACACAGGAAGGTTTTTTATAAATCAGAGTTTGATCAGTTGTTTGTAGCAGCTCTTTCTGCTCCTTCTGAGTGAAAAGTGACTTTTTATAGTCCTCTCCATCTGTTGGACTCATTTCTTTAGTGGGTTTGTTGCAGATTTATTCCTAGGAGAATTAAAGGTTGAATCCTATTTGCTTGTGTTCCTTTGAGTTGGCCTTTCTGTTAACTGGGATAAACAATCATCACTTCTTTTTGCAAACAAGCTGGAGTCATATGCCATGTATTTATCATATTATGCAAAGTTATTTTTATTCATGAAGGGTGACGATCACACTAACCTTAAAACACTGACAGCAGCTGTGGCAGTCATATAGTACACACATTTGTGAGTTACCAGTACTGTGGTCATGATACTTTGATGTGTATTTGTGAACTGTCTATAGAGCCCAGGTTGGGCAGTGGGTGCTTGACCTGGACTCAAACCCACAACCTCATGATTATTAGACTCATTTACATGTAGACATATGAAGACTGTTATAATTCTCTTAACACGGTGATCTAAAACATACAAAGTCTACTTTTCTGTTTACTTACAGTTTATGTAACGTGAAGGTTTCGTCCTTGTCATGGAGACATGAAACTGACCACTGCTGCCACTTTGACTTGTCTCATAGCTCCAGCTATATATCTTGATATTTTAAAAGTATCAAGATAATTTCATACGCAGTATAAAATGAGACTATCGATATAAAACGATAATAGTCTCGTACTTGGTTTTGTTATGCAGGAAAAAAAACATTATTTTTGAGGAATTTATTTTGTACAGTTACAGCTGTTTGTTAATAAAGGTGGCTGTGTGACAACTGGGACAAAGCTTTGACTCAAATATAGTTTTGTTATTACTTTATGGAAAGAAAAAATATATATCATTAGGGGTTTAATGGTACGCTAAAAATCACAGTTTGGTTCGGTTAATTTTCGGTACAAAAAAGGCCAAAATAAAGATTTACAAAATGTTTATTGTGAAAATATGCCAAGTAAACAAGTTCAGTCATAACAGACTTCTTAGCTGGAGGTGATCTGGTGGACTCAGCTGCTGTCATCCTCAGACTGCAAACAACACAGAGATTTTAAAATAAATTGAGTTAATAAGATTAAAATTTTAATTAAAAATAATAATTAGATAGATCACAGTAACAATACCTCTTGTTGCACTGTCATCATATGAGGTGGTTGAATATCCTCTCTCGCTCATCATTGATGTGGCTGGACTTTAAATCTGGGGTCGGGCTTGTTGACATGATCAGTTTTAGCTTTTTCATAAAGTGCAGCTACAACATTTTAGCTGAAGAACTTTATGCGTAAAGTCGCCGCATCAACAACGTTCAGACGTCGATCCAGAGCTTTAAGAGCTCCCACAGCTTGTGTTATTGCTCTGCACCGATCTGAATGACCGGATGAAGGTTGTTTAAATGCTGCTGCTATCGCTCTTTGCACCAACTGTAGAAGAGACGTTCACGTTCGGACGATGTCGTTCCAAGTTTAACACGTTCGACGTGTTGCTGCCGCAGATCCGATCTTCGTGAAACGACGTCGACACACGGATTTGGATTTGCGCTCGTCTTTTAACAAGAAAGCCACAATGTTCCCAAACAGGAGACCACAACGAGATTCTGGGCTGCTAATGCTGCGCGTGCTGCAAGATAATAGCGCCGTGCTGAAACACGCTTAGGAACTTTAGTTCCGCGGTGCATAATCTCTCGTTAATGAAATTTAATGAGTGGAAAAATTACCGAAACAGTACGCAGGTGGACCGAACCAAACATGCTGTACTGAAACGGTTCAATACACCCGCGTGTACCGTTACACCCCTATATATCATCATCCATCTTAAAATATTGAGATATTAATTTTGGTCCATATTGCCCAGCCTTAGCAGGCAGAAAACAGCCACGGCTAACAGCGAGCTGAGGCGGGCGTGTTGTGGGCGGAGGTGGACAGCAAAATATTTTGCATGGTGTAGAACGCAGTTTTGCAATCCATGCGCACACAAAAAGGCAGTAATTTTCATGAACTAGTTGTTCATGACACAGACGCACAGCTCTTTGTTGATTTGGTTGCAAACACACAGTTGAAAAATTGCCTATTTTCTGCAATATTGACAAGTTGCACGCCTGTGAGCTCCCATCTAAAAAGAATACACTCCTAATCTCATGTGGATGCCCAAGGTGCAAGCAGAGTGCTAAAATCCAAAGATTGTCTTTTATTCATCGTGTATATTGTGTCATTTTTATAGGTGGTCCTTCCAAAAAAATGAATTTTTTTTTAATTTATTTTATTTTAGGTTAACTAGAAAAAAATCCCTCCACCTTGTGATTGCCTGATAGATCCTGTGCTGACGCAGCATCGTTCTGCTGCGTTGCAACAGGACAGCAGCTTCTCATGCTGACTTTAAATATTCCTTGTGTAAATAGATTCAGGACTTTTGGGGACATCTTTCAAACTGTAACCTAACAAAGGTTATAGTTTAATGTTTATCATGAGTAGAAAGCTCATTCCACCGTCATAGTTTCTTTCCTCCATTCTGTCTGAAGCCGTGATGGTCTAACAGGAGATCAGTAAATGTGATTATCTACTTTGCAGCTGTGCACTCGTTTGAACTCACTCTGGCTTCTCCTTTGTCTTGTTAGTGCACTGAAACATGGGTCTTAGCAGTTTTCATGTTCTGCTGCTGCTCCTCCTGCAGGCTCTGCTGGCATCAGCTGAGGGCTCAGGTACTGTCCTCATGCTATGTGCTGCTTTCAGTCTGATGTGTGCTCTCTTCTGCTTAGGACAAAATATTATGAACACCATCTTCCATATTTACGACTGGTTTTCAATGAAATGTGCCAGGTACTAAAATAAGAACTTGTATTTGTGAAGCATTCGCTTCTTGTTTCACAGATGAACACCTGGTGTGTGTTTGCGAAGGCCCAAAATGCCTCCAGGCCTCACAGTGCCACGGTACCCAGTGCTTCTCCTCTGTTAAAGTTGGCAGCAGTGGGATTGTGTTTGAGCGCGGTTGTCTGAAAGGTCCAGAGAAGATCCTTCTGCAGTGCTCCACAGCTCCGTCCTTCCATCAAGCCATTCTTTGCTGCTCCCAGGACCGGTGCAACAGCAACACCACCAGCAGCCTGCTGTTGTCTCTTCTGCCATCAGGTCCTCCAGCAGTTCACTGCGTGCACTTTTTATATGACGTCAAACAGATGTTCTCACAAGGACCTTTCCTTTCCAACAGTCCCTGAGGGTGAACCAGTTCGGTACCGTGTGGAGACATTAGCTCTCTTCGTTCTGGCCCCAGTGGTCATACTGGTTCTGCTTTCCGTGGTGTCGGTGCTGGCGTGCAGGAGGCTCCACCACGGCCGCCTCCAGAGGCTGCAGGAGTTTGACACCGAGCAGGGAGACGGACTCATCACCTCCAACGTGGGGGACAGCACTTTAGCGGTAAGAATAAAAATCCTTTTTCTCCGTGTTGTTGTTTAATAATGAGCACAGAAGCTCAAGTGACAGTCCGGCACGTTGGTCCTGATCCAGTTGAACTTATTCTTACTTGCTGTGATTAACCTGCAAATTAAAATGCTCCTTTTTATTTACTTTTAGTTTTGCATGAGCACAAATTGGTGTAGTGCAGGAACAGAAACACTTTATATTTTGTCCACTGATGAAAAATGCAAACTATAATGTGTTTGACTGGATAAGTAAATGTCTAAATATATGTTAATTTAAAGTTGCATTTGCTCTCAGAAGTTGTGCTATCAATGTGTAAAGTCTGGCACAAAGCTAGCAGTGCTAAAACAAAGTTAGCGTACGTTCAGGGTGAGTATCGTTGGAACATGACAAAAAGCAGAGGGTGCACTGGTTTTTGTTTTTCTATAATCAGTGTTGGGTTTTAGTGCTCATGCCCGTTGTGACCTCTTGCAAGCGATTTTAAATCTCATAAATGAAATAAATTAAAACAATTAGCATCTGGCCAGGTTTCTGTTTTGTCTGACCCTCAACTTTTAATTAAATAATCTACAATAGTTGTGATCCCGCTCTGCCTCCAGGACCTGTTGGATCACTCGTGCACTTCAGGCAGCGGTTCAGGTCTTCCCTTCCTCGTCCAGAGAACTGTAGCCAGGCAGATCAGTCTGGTGGAGTGTGTAGGTGGGTGTGAGACACGCGTCATGTTGGCACTGTTCATCAAAAAATTCAGATTTCCTTTTGTTTTTTCAAAACATGAGCAATTGTTAAGTTTAAAGTGTCATAAATCCCAGAAGGAAAACCTGTATTTTCAATAATCTGCCAGTTTGTCTGCACAGTTTCTGCTCACTGCAGCCAGACAGCAGTGTGTGGACAACATGAGGCCATGAATAAGTCGTCTGGTTCTTGTTTTCTAGGTAAAGGGCGGTATGGAGAGGTGTGGCGAGGTCAGTGGCAGGGGGAGAACGTCGCAGTGAAAATCTTCTCGTCGAGAGATGAAAAGTCTTGGTTTAGAGAAACGGAAATCTACAACACGGTGCTGCTTCGGCATGACAACATACTGGGTATGTCTGACATTTGATCCCACGTGCAGGAGGAAATACTGCTACTTTTTTGTAGCTTTGCATTTATACATTTGTCTGAAAATAGTGGAACGGTACACTAACCTTTGCTTTGTAATATTAAAATGTTACTACATCTGTCCATGTCTGTTTTACTCAATGGCTCATGGAACAGATTCACCTGTGTTCTGTGTGACACAACCTGTTCTTCTGCTCCTCTCAGGGTTCATGGCATCCGACATGACTTCTCGTAACTCCACCACTCAGCTGTGGCTCATCACTCACTACCACGAGAACGGTTCCCTCTATGACTACTTGCAGCGCGTTGCCGTGGAGACATCCGAAGGCCTGGCGATGGCAGCTTCGATAGCGTGCGGCCTCGTGCACCTGCACACAGAGATCATTGGCACAGAAGGAAAACCTGCCATCGCTCACAGAGATCTGAAGAGCAAAAACATCCTGGTGACCAAGGAGCTGCGCTGCTGCGTCGCAGACCTGGGTCAGGTTTCATCCTGCAGTTATTTATGTGTTTATGGTACTACGTCTGGTCTTTAACGTTAAACCCCTGAAATGCAGGTGCTTCATAATCTAATTTAATCTAATTTTAACTTTTCCCTGACAGAAAAGTTGTGTTTGTCAAACTTGTTACAGCTGTGACGTGTGCAGGTTCCACAGTTTCCACGTGACGGGCTTTGTGAAGTGTTGGCAGTAACGTTGTCTGTGACGGCTCGTTACAGGGCTGGCTGTGACCCACTCGCAGGCAGACAACCTGCTGGACGTGGGCAACAATCCGAAGGTTGGCACCAAACGCTACATGGCTCCTGAAGTGCTGGATGAAACCATTCAGACCGACTGCTTCGACGCCTACAAGAGAGTGGACATATGGGCCTTCGGACTGGTACTGTGGGAGATAGCAAGACGCACATACAGCAACGGTGAGGAGAGTGCACATCGTCGCTGTGGACCTCACACGAGTGTCATGGTGATGCAATAGTTGGGCAAAAAGCCTTGCGTTGTCAGTACGACTGTAATATTTCCTGTTGTTTGTAAATAGTCTGTTGGACTGCCCCTGTTGTGGTTAGAAATATGATTTTTGTTGTAAAGGTGCTTCCTGCTAACTTCTAGCGTTAAAATGTCTGCAGGTATTGTTGAGGAGTACAAACCTCCGTTTTACGACCAGGTGCCAAATGACCCCAGCTTTGAGGACATGAGGAAGGTGGTGTGTGTGGAGCAGCAGAGGCCTTTCATTCCTAATCGCTGGTTTTCAGATCCTGTAAGTAATACTACCATGCACTACTTTGTTGTATTAAAAAGATTCTAAAAAATAGGCAGCAGATGCAAGATTGAGGACTAAGGCATTAGATATTTTCTGTACTTGCATATCCACATATTAAAATGTGTTAAAGCACCGGTTAAATGACATCACACTGAAACATTTTAGGTTTGTTGTTGCTCTTCTGCTTTGATCTGGATGAGGGGGATGAAAGATTGATGCTCTTAAAAAATTGTGAAAATGTCAAAAGATGGAAATTACTGGCTTTTATTTTTGTTCTTGAAGCGTTCATAGTCAGTGATGATCCAAACAATTCATCACTTAAGTCCTGACAAACTGACTGAGGTTACAAACCTGCTACTTTACCCTGGAATATGTAATAATCCCATTGTAAGTGGTTTAATATGTAATAATCCCATTGTAAGTGGTTTATGGTTCTTCAGCTGAACATTGATGTTTGCAGATGCCAAATTATATTAACTACCATATTTTCTGCCGTACGCGTCGCTTCGCCCTATAAGTCGCATCGGTCCAAATGTGTCTAATAAAGTGGAAAAATCCATAAATACGTTGCATCTATTACGCGTCATCGCCGACAACCCGGAAATGTGGGCCGGTGTTGTGCCAAAAATCAATTGGCTGCTAAATGGCGGCCGTGGGGCGTGCACGGAAGGATTTGAACAAATTAACACCTAAAACAATTGTTTGCTCAACATTATAGTAAAGGTGTGTCTCAGTTGAACTTTAACTTAATAAATTGACTTTAATGGTCAAACCAGCTGCATGTCACTGGTGCAGTGAAATGAAGCTGGTTTGACGGTTGCTCCAGACGAGCTGGACCAAGGTGGGAAGCTGTGGCAAACCGATCATTAACAGCCACTTTTACATATTACATGACACAACGGCATGCCGTACTACTCGAGTGCCATCTAGTGGCTGAAAATGGTAGTGTTCAACATTTTCAGTCAGAATGAATGAAAACGGTCGTATCTCAGTCAAAAACTGGTTTATAAATATGGAAAAAATCCATCAATATGTCACTTCGGTGTATAAGTCACAGGGCCTGTAAATTATGCAGAAACTGCGACTTGTAGGGTGAAAAATATGGTAGTAAAAATATTTGGCAACTTGCAGTTTTCTTGAATTTTGTTTAGAATCTGGATACTTTAGTGACAGCAAACCCTTTTTAAAATTTGACGTAGAGGATTTACATTTTTTTTACCAGCCCGTTATCTTTTCATTAGCTTGCTGTCAAAACTAAGTTCAGTTTAAAGACGGGGGACGCTGCAGATAGCCGAAAACAGTTTTCATCTCCTGCAGCCCCCCGTGGTGCTTCCTTACTGCTCTCACTGCATGACTCGTGTGTTGTGTCCTGCAGACGCTCTCTGCTCTGGTTAAACTGATGAAGGAGTGTTGGTACCAGAACCCCTCGGCCCGACTCACAGCGCTGCGCATCAAGAAGACTTTGGACAAGATTCACAGCTCTCTGGAGAAGGGCAAGGAGTCATGAGGGTCAGAGGCAGCGCCATGGAGTCAGGGACTGGCTGCAACTACAGCTCCGAGTATTTTATTTTATTTTAAACAAGAAGAAAGTAATCGGAAGGAACGATGAAGACTCGAGCTTAACCTTCCTCTGACATCCCTCCGTTGGACTCAGAGCCCGTGTGGACGAGTCATGTCTGACAAAGGGACATGAAGCAGTCGTCTCTGCTCCCACTGAGCTGATGTGTGGTCTGCTGGTGTCACTGGGCTGTATAGTAATGCACCTCTGGGTTCCTCCACACGCCGACTGTCTCCTGCAGACAGTTTGACCTCCAGCCAGGTTTGGGCCCGTGGCGCTCTGCTCAGAGACAATCAGAAACGCTGCACTTCATCAGAACACAACTGTTGCCACACATACACAAAACGCTCACACACAAAAGGAAAAGGAGCCACTAGAATCAACCTTTTTTTTACCTTTATAAAGCAAATATTACTGATATTTATGTATTAAAGCTCCACCGTTACTACTGAGGATAAATGTAAGACTGGTGTATGAAACTAAACGTATGTAAGCATCAACTTTATTAGACTTTCTATAACCTTAATGACACTATCAGGAAGTAATCACACACTGAGTAAAGGACTTTTCTTGTACGGAACATGCTGGATATAAAACTACAGGGTTGTTTACACAGGAAGAAACGGTTTGTTTTAAAGGAAATCTATTTACAAGTAGGAACATGAAACATATCCTCTCTGGGCACGCCTCAAGGCACTGCAGAAAATGAAGGTAAAGGAGTTTTTATGTAGCAAACTGGGCGTGACGCCTCGCTGTGTCAAACGAAAACAAAACACTGTCTTTACTGGAACTTGTTTTTGAACTAAGAAGTTGCTAAGTGTACAAAGAAGTTAGTTCAAAAGTGCTGCCTTTTGTTTTTGTTTGTTTTACAGAGAAAAAAGTTGCTTTGTCTTTTTTATATGTAATAAAACATTTCCTGCACTACTGCCTAATGATCAGCCTGTTTGGTGGTTTTATTAGAGCTCTACATGTACATTTATTGTAACCTTGCTTGAATGCATCGTGCTAATTCAAATACGTGAAGAGAATTTTAAAGTATCTAAACCAGGACTTGTTCAGGGACCACATCTGGCGCAGGGGTGAGCTCAGTCTGACCCAACGATGATCTTAATTAAAATAAAATGAAATGTATCAAGAAAAAAAAATGACAAATGGGTGATCCTGTTATTTTATAAGTGGTTCCCAGCCCGGGTCCTTGAGGAACACCATCCTGCATGGTTTAGTTGTTCCTCTGCTCCAACACCTGGTTTGAATGTGATTAACGAGCTTCTGCAGAACATGAAGTAATTAATTCACTGACTCGTGTTGGAGCAGAGAAACGACTGAAACATGCAGGATGGTGTTCCTCAAGGACCCGGGCTGGGACCCACTGAGTAGATGATCAGTGATAAAGCTGTACAACTTGAGTTCACTGAAAATAAAATTAGATGTTAAATGGACTGCGAGCGGTTTAGTTGCACCTCCCTGATGTAAACGTTGATCAACCTGCAAATGTGCACACCAGGAAAAGAAGCTCCGTGGCCGTGCACACCATGTGTAGTGAAGTTGTAGATGTTAGTTAGCTCCTGGAAGAGTTGTTACAAAATTCATTTCAGATGATCCGGTAAGGTCTTGTAGGGGTTGAGGATTCCTTTGGGGTCCAGCAGGGCCTTGATGTGAGTCATGAGGGCCACGGCTTGGCTCGACTTGCTGTAGTAGATGTAGTTCCTCTTTTTCAGACCGAGTCCATGCTCTGCGCTGATGCTGCCGTGGTACCTGGCTGCCCACTCGTACACGAACGGCTCGATGGCAGCCAGCAGAGCAGGGTCTTTGGCAGGAGACGTGATGTTCAGGTGCAGGTTGCCGTCACCTACAGAACGCGTGTGGAAAGACGGAGGATGAGGAGGAGTCTGGGTTAAAACTGAAAACAAAACGCGAGGTCTCACCAACATGTCCGTATCCCACCACGCTCTTGGCCCGGTTCCCCAGGTGCTCCCTGGTGTCTGTCACCAGCTGGTAGATCCGCTCCACTGGAAGAGAAATGTCGTACTTGTAGTTGAAGCCGTCGTGAGTCAGTGCCTCGGTGACGCGTTCACGCATGGACCACAGGGCCTGGAAAGGTGGAAATGGAAAGGCATCGATCTTTCTTTACCTGCGGGGCCAACTAAATGCTGGAAAGAACGTGGAAACGTGATTTTAATCAGAAAAAATCTGATTCTTAAAGATCCCTCTGAACCACTAATGCTCTCTAGGAATTTTCTTAAGTTTAATTCATAAAATAGTCGAGACATTCCCTAAAGGGAAGAGCACAGTACTTGGTTTAAGCAGAAGTTCATGAAGCAATTGAACCCTGCAACAGTTAACGTGTACATGCACACGCATGTCAAGTGTCTAATGAGTAAAACAATGATTCAAAGAACCGACAGATAAATAATTAACTTCTTAATCATGTTACGATGCTTTTAACTAGAGAAACTGCATTTCCTGCACAAATGCAGTGTGAATGCTTATTGTTGAAGAACTTGCTAAAAACAGCTGAAATGGAAGAACAAGTCCAGGTCAGCAGACGAAAGCAAAAAGGACATATTTGCCTAATTAGGTTTAAATAAGCAGAAATTAGCACAAAAAATAGGGAATTAGCTAAAAAAAAATAGCTGACAATTAGCTAAAAAGGCAGAAAGAAGCTAAAACTACCAGAAGGAAGTGGAAGGAGCTGAGAAGAGATCCAAAAATGTGGAATTAGCTGAAAAAGCTAAATTAAGCATAAAAAGCTAAAAAGTAGCTGAAAAAGCAGAAATAACTTAAACTAGCAGAAAAATAACTAAAATTACCGCAAAGAAGTTAATTTGGTTAAAAGTAGCAAAAATTACCATGAAAAACTTAAATGTATCTGAAAACAGCTGAGAAATTAGCTAAAAATGCTCAAAAGGTAGCTAAAAATATAGATCAACTTAAATTAGCATAAGAAAGCAGAAAGAACATGTTTGCCCAATTAGGCTTAAAGAAGCAAAAATGAGCACAAAAAGTGGAAATTATCTGAAAAAAACCTGAAATTAACAACAACAACAAAAAACCTGCTGAAAAGCAGCTAAAAAGGCAGAAAGAAGCTTAAATTACCAAAAGGACGTGGACAGAGCACATTTTTGATGAATTAGGCGGAAAAAATTTAAATTAGTGCAACAAAAGTGGAATTAGCTGAAAAAGCTAAAATTAGCATTAAAAACAGCTAAATATTAGCTGAAACAATAGAAAAATCTGAAACTTGCAGAAATGAGCTGAAAGGAGCAGAAAGGAGTTAGAAGAACAAAAAAATTGTAGTTGGCTGAAAGAATCTGAACAGAGCACAAAACAGCTGACATTAGCTAAAAGTAGCTGAAAAGATGTTTAAATTTGCACAAGGAAACTGAAAGAAGCTGAAGCAGAACAAAATGTGAAAGGAGCAGTAAAAGTAAACAGCTCTAAAGATTTGAAGGAGGTAAAATGAGCTCAATTCATTTTCTATGAGAAAAAAATGTCAGAAAAGGCTAAATATTTCAAAAAGCTAAAGTTGCACCAATACCAAAAGTTATATCACCCTTCTCCTGAATGAGCTGAATGTTTTGATTTACGATTTGTTGAAATGGCACAAAAATTGTGGAACGAGAAAGATGCTGAATAACGTAAAGAACAATGGATTACAACAGAGTGACTGCTTCATAAATATTCACACTATTATCAAACCAAGAAACTGAGAAGATGAGGTCACCTTTATTTTTGACTCCTCTGTTGCTACAGTTCCATCAGTAACTAACAACGACGTCATCGCTTCCTCTAGAAAGTTGTGAAGCTTCTGCGCATCGTGACTCGGATCAGATCCAGATGTTTCTATAACGATGTAGAAGGGGCAATCTGCAGAGCAAAGAAACAGACAGATGTTTATGTTTGATGGTCCCATGCTGAACAATGTGTGGATGTGTACCAGAGATGGGGTTGGACAGTTTGAGGTGCGTCTTCAGCAGCCTCATGCATTCACTGTCGAGGAACTCAAAGGCCGACAGGATTTCTCCCAGCATGCCTCTGCAGAGCTGAAATGCCTTCAGCAGCTGCTCAAAGGTCTCGCATCCTAAAAGTGGCAGCACAGACTGAGTCATGTGGATTGTTTAGTTTTCAAACCATCTTTTTACACACACGCTGTGAAAAAATCTAAGATAATCCTACCCAAGAAAACCACATTAACAGATTTTGGTTTTCGAGGACACAGGATGGAGACGGCAGTGATGACTCCCAAAGTGCCTTCTGAGCCGATGAAGAGCTGTTTCAGGTCGTATCCCGTGTTGTCTTTCCGCAGCGTGGCCAAGCAGTCCAGCACCCGTCCATCTGCCAGCACCTGCTCAGGATTCCCACATCAGGACAAACAAACTGCTGTCAGACATGAAGCCCATATCTTTGGTTCTTGGAGAAACTTTTTCACTTTTGCCTCCAAAATGATCGGTATGGTGGAATCCAAACAGAAAATGACTATTCACAAAGTTTGAGTTTATTAGCAGACAGAAAGACATGCCGTAATTTTTGGTTTATAAGCTGCCACTTCTTTCACACGCTTTGAACAATGCTGTGGCTAATTTATGGATGTTTTTTCTTCTTCTGACGGGCTAACGAGCTTCCGGTTGCCAAAAACATTTAGCTGCATCACACCCGGGCGCTCACATAATACAAGTCTCTCTTGAGGGGTGGGTCCTCGTGACTCAGTGAGGTTACCTGTATAAATAAAAGGTTTAAAAAAAAAATCGGAACAGGTCACAGTCGAACCTATGAAACTGGGAGGGGAAGCCAATGAAAAGGGAAGGAGGGAATTCCCCCCCGCCCCCATGTAGAGCAACTTTTCCTCCGCGGAGCACAAGCTTGCAGCAGGAGGAATATAAAGATAGCGATCAATGACTTCCTGGTAGGCCGCTGTATTTTTCCAACAACAGACGTGTGTGATGACGATTTTCTGAGGCTGTTCAATTCTGACACTGAAGATAACGACCAGTGATTTTAGTGCACAGGAGGAAGATGAACATAGCGATCAGTGACATTTCCTGGCAATTACTGTATTTTTTATTTTGTTTTAACCAGCGTGTTAAAGGCTTTGTTTAGGAAAAACATTGTTTTCATTCAACCTTTATTTAGACAGGTTAATCCCATTGAGCCTCTTGCACTGCTTATATTCGGTTGTGCGCTATAGTCTGGAAATTACGGTAATTTTTATATAGTGTTTTATAAAAACGAGCAGTTTCTCCTTTCTACAATCCACTCACCACTTCAAGACCCAGCACAGTGCCGTGCAATGAGCCGTATCGCAGCAGCCGCAGCCCGCCTGCATTAGTTGCCACATTGCCCCCGATCTGGCAACTTCCTTTGGCCCCAAGATCCAGTGGCATGATGTGGTCTCGCTCCTCCAGAAAGAGGGACAAGTTTTCCAAGACACAACCTGCCCGACAGGTAAGAATACCTGGAAAAGAAAACTAAATCTAAGGACACTTTATGAAGCAGTTTTCCTTTTAAATTGATCGTTTGGGGTAAAAGTTTGAATCTTACCCGAGACGTTGTCAAAAGAAATAATGTCGTTCATAAGAGAGGTGGAGAGGATAATTTCATCATAAACCGGCACACTGCCGCCCACCAGCCCTGTGTTACCTCCTTGAGGGTTCACCGCCAGGTTGTGACTGTTACAGTAGCTATCAAATGAAATCAAAGTATAAAGTGAGATAAATATTTGATTTACTTATTTGACGTGTTTAAGTTTACCTGAGGATTTGTGATACTTCCTTTGTTGTCCGAGGTCTCAGTAAGACTTCACTTGACCCTGCAGGAGAGATCAAAGGTAAATAAAATTTTAACTAAAATAAATGTGATTTTTTTTTTCCACAATACCAGACATGTTTGTTTTTTTCAGGTCTATGTTTCACCTCTCACAGACTTAAGCCAGTCCACGTTACTGGACTCCACCAGGTCAGGGTCAGTGATGGTTCTGCCTGGTAGGATCTTCCTGAAAAAGGCCAAATCCTCCACTGATAGTCTGGAGAAAGGCCGCCTCTCTGGAGCCGCAGCAGGAGATGGCCTGACTCCATCTGTTTTATCGTGCAACCTATGAGAAAAGACCACAAACTGTGCAGAGCCCCAGATGAGGAGAGGACTCTGGAAGTCCGCAGGTACAAGCAGAACTGTGGACGCGGCAGTGTTTTGGATGCACAAGCATCTTGGAGCTCTTCTCAGCCTGGATGTTCTCTGGAAAACTCTTAACATGACTGGAGTGAAGAGTGGGTGAGGCAAGCTGCAGGATTAAAGTGGGAGAAGTTTAGTCATAGGTTTATGAAGTAGCACCCTGTATGTATGAAATGTTTAGCAAAAACATTTAAAAATGAGATTATTTCCACCATTATGAACAAAGTCTCATGCTGTAGGTAATAATTCCACTTTATGTTTAGCATATTTTTGCAATTATAAAACACATTGATTTATCAAGCAAATAGTTTTAAATGCAAGTGCATTGATAGTTAGCTTAGCAAAAGGTTTATTCATTCATTCAACCTTTATTTAAACAGGTAAATCCCACTGAGCCCCGAGGACTCATTTACAAGAGAGACCTGATTTCAACAAAGAAAGATGACAACAATGGACAACAGCGACAACAATAAACAGTTATAAAAAGTAATACTGCAGTTTTTTTTTGTTTTTGTTTTTTTTAAACAAATAGGATGGCTAAAAGAAAAAGGTAACAAAAAAACATATAGATTCTAAGGAGAATGTAGAAAACTAAAAACAGGAACATGTCTGCATTGGTCCCTGCCAGGAGTCCAACAGATTCTTGAAGCCACTTAGAGAGGTCAAGGTCGAGAGCTTCAAATCTTTTTGTAAGATATTCCAGGAAACAGGAGCAGAGTAGGAGAAGGACCTTTTGCCTGGTTCAGTCCTCACTGAGGGAACACTGCAGGTAATAATGTCCTGAGAGCGCACGCTGTAGCTGCACTCACGCAGAGACATGTAGGAGGAGAAGTATGAAGGCAGCAGACCAAGAAGTGATTTAAAGATGAAAATGTACCAGTGAGAGAGTCTGTGTGAAGTTAATGATGACCAGTTAACCAGTGAATACTGGGTGCAGTGGTGGGTACGATAATCACAGCCAGTTATGAATCTTAGTGCACCATGATAGACAGAGTCCAACATCTGCAGCATCCAACATCTGCAGGGTTCTTGTAGGAGCATTCATGTAAATAATGTCACTGTAATCAATGGAGGGAAGGAAAGTCACAGATACAAGGCATTTTCTAGCATTCAGGGTTAGACAGGATCTGTTTCTGAAAAAGAAACCCAGTTTAACTTTCAGTTTCTTCATCAAGTTTTCCACATGGAGCTTAAAAGAGAGATGTGAGTCGACCAAGATACCCAACTATTTGTAGGAATCAACAAACTCAATGGGAACACCATTTGAGGATAAAATCGGAGGAAGAACTGCTGGGACCAACTTCCTATTTGAAAAAAACATCCCTTTGGTTTTGTCGGCATTTAGGACAAGTTTGAGGCGAAACAAATCAGTCTGGATGTAGTTGAATGCAGATTTCAAAAGCTGGAAAGCCTTAGCAACAGTTTTAGCTCGACAAGAAACAACTGTATCATCAGCATAGAAATGTATGGATGCATTAGGAATGTTTTTACCTACATTATGTATGTAGATTGTAAAGAGGGTGGGTCCTAAGACTGAGCCTTGTGGTACACCATTGTTGACTGTTAAATAACTGGAGGAAGTACCATTATGTTGAACACATTGCCTCCGGTCTGAGAGATAGTTAGAGAACCAACCAATGGTGTGTTCTGAGAAACCGATTTCTGAGAGTTTATGACACAAGATGTTATGATCCACAGTGTCAGAATCTTTAGACAGGTCTAAGAAAAGTGCAGCACAATAATCCTTAGCATTCAGTGCTTCAACAACGTCATTAAGAACCTTCAGTGAAGCAGTGGTTGTGCTGTGTTGTTTCCTGAAACCAGATTGATGTGGAGGTAAGATGTTAAATGAGTCCAGGTAATTTTTGATTTGAGAGTTTATCAGTTTTTTCAGATTACCACATTCATTGACTGGCTGGAGCCTTTAAAAGTGTTTTACTCACCGTAAATGTTCACCTAGTTCCCTGCTGCCCTCCGTCCATCAGAAACTGTGTGCTTCGTGTTAGATTACCGAATAAAGTCTGTCACTGAGCTGAAGGGCACGTGACAAATTAAAGATCTGAGTTTGTTTACAACTAGCATGCTAACGACGGCCGGAAATTGCGTAAAGGGTCAAAGGTGACGCGACTACAAAATGGACCAATCAGTGAGCGGCTTACAAATTGAACCAATAGACGCAAAGCTTTTATTGTCACTCAGCAGCCAATAAGGTTTGTTATTGCATTTCGCCCTTTAAGTTAACTAATAAACTTTATTTTGCTGTATTGTCTTTGTATGAATTTATGTTCTCAAATAAATCTACAAACTGTTGATAATTCAGCAACATATTGCAGTGTCGCTTATTATGGCATATTTTAATGTTCTCTGTATGAGGTAAATTTAATGTTATTTTATGCTTTATGTGTTGTCTAATTGTCTATATTAATATTTGGCATTACTAAATAAGTTACAAGAGCCTGAAATTATTTGTGTTTATAGTGGTCAACAGACATACTCAAACGCGCATAAATGTTTTAAAACCTTATCTTTTTGTATATTGCACTGCAGAAGAGCTGGACAGTTTGTGTAAATTACCAACCGATTATTGATTATGGAGCTAAAAGAGTGGTCAGCTCATTGTAATAAACAGAGAGACACTAAAACTAAAAATGCTCTTACACAATAAGGTCTAACAAAAGACAGATCTGGAGGAAACATGGAGATAGTCCCAAATATAGAAACAAACACAAAATACAAATTTATTTGCTGAAACTTTACACGTTTTGATTTGTGCATGCATTCTGTAAGAAACACAGCATGCATGTTTTGCATGTAAAGTCAGTAAATTAGTTTCAAAGACAAAGTGTGTGGCTCACAAGTAACATTCCCACTTACACTTAAAGCTAACACTACATGTTAATAAAATATAACAAAACAAGTGACGGGTAAGACCAGTGTAAAACAATGAATCCTGTTTGAGGCTCTGTAAAACTCAGGCTGAACCAAAACACTGATAATCCACTAAAGCCAAAAAAATACAGAAGGACGGACGTTTTCTCAGGACACATCTGCACCATAGCTGCTAATGAAAAGAAATCCTCACAATTCACGTGATGAATTCTGAATACGCACAGCATGCAGTTTTCTCAGCTTAAAACACAAACACTGAACCAGATGACAGAACAAATAACACTTCACCAAAAAATAAAGTATGTTTGATGGGAACCTACAAACGTTTTTAGGGTTAGCACCTTATCTCCACGTCTGTTTCGAGCTTTTGCAGAACCGTTATTTCTTTTGCCCGCAGCACTATCAAGTTAGTGTCGTAGCAGCCCTTTCAAAGCATTTCAATGATGGCTGAATTTCACTTTTCACTAACTGTGCTGACATTCACCGCAGATCTCCTTCAACCACGTTGAGCCATGAAAACTGGGAGCTGCTACCACCGAGCAGCACCGACTTCTGTGGCGTTCAAATGTTGCAACAAAGTTCCTCCAGTCAGGCTCTTCATTTGGGCTCGTCAGGATCTGCAGCGAGCTGCTGCTGGTCGAAGTCGGAGATGAGTTTCTTGATGTGAGCCAGTTTGTTGTGTAGATATTCACAGCGAGCCTTGTCCTGATTGTAGTTCGGGTTTGACTAAAATAAATAAAGGATGATCTGTTAGCAAAATGAACGAGTTATTCTGTTCATTAAAGTCATCTTGGAACAAGAAGGTTACCTTTTTAATTTTCCGGTACTCTTGAAAGATTTTATTCCGAACCGTCTGTGGAGAAAATGTGAATAAATCCAAAGTATCATGTCAGTCAAGTACAAGTGGCAACAAATTAAACAATGACACAGTTTACACACACATATTTGTAATTTGCAGTTCTTCACCTTGTATTTATGCGAGTCGTGGTGAAGCTGTTTGAGTTGCGTGTCCAGCTCCATGAACTGCTGCGTCACGCTGTCGATGCGAGCGTGTAAATCTCTGTACTCGCTGTACTCCTGGTTGAAGTCTTCTTTATAACTCTGTCTCTGCTTGTGGCTGCAAATCACCGTGAACTTCCTGTTCAGAGGGAAACAACGGAAAACTACCAGTTAAACAATCCTTGCTTTAACTGAATCTGATCAACCCTGAAGCACAAATCAGACCCTCCATATTTTCATTAAATGGAAGCTTCAGCTTTTTAATCCCCACAAACACAACAGACTTCCAGTTTTAGGAAAAACAAATTACCATAATTTCCAGACTATAAGCCACTACTTTTCTGCCTGCTTTGAACACCGCGGCTTAAACAATGTATGGATTTATTTATTTTCAGGCTAACGAGCTTCCTGCCACCAAAACATTTCACCTCATCACACCCGGGCGCTCACAAAGCTGCACAATACAAGTCTCTCTTGGGGGGTGGCTCGTGACTCGATGAGGCTACCTGGATAAATAAAAGTAAAAAAAATAAATAAATAAATCTGAACAATGAAATAACCAAACAGGTCACAGTGGACCAATTAATCTTGGTTTCATTGTTCTCTCCCCCCCTCCCCGTTGTGCCCGCAGGGAGGGGGGCGCAGTGCGCAGGAGGAAGATGAAGATAACGATCAATGACTTCCTGGTAGGCTACTGTATTTTTTATTTTATTTTTTAATCAGCCGTTTAGAAAATAATAATAATAATTAACTGTACGTATTTGTGTATGTTACTGGTACGTTACTGGTACGTATTGTAGCATTCTGCTGGGGCTGACTGCTGGGCACATGGCTTCAGAGAGGGATTATGGGTAAAATTTACGTTCATTGTTCATCATTTTGGTTAGCCGTTTATAGGGCTGGGCGGTATCTCGATATTTTAAAAACATCTATATCATTTCATACGTGATATAGAGTGAGACTATATCAATATAAAACAACAACTGTCTCATACGCTACGTAGAGTTAGAATTATACTTGAAAATCAGAGTTTTTCTCCCAGTGTGCACCTTCACACGGTCCCTCCTCCTCTCCCTCACTGAATACAAACCCAGCCGCTCCCCCCGCCCCCGGCTGTGTAAAACTGTCTGCTGCTGCAGCTCCCACTGTGAACAAGCTAGATGCAGATATCACTCATCATCATAAGTCTTTGTTGACTCAGTGGAGACACTCTGGTGGCATGGATGTAAATTCCTGATGGGTGTGAAAATGACTGGGTAGCTGCTTCAAATGAGAGGTTTGGTGTTCTCCAGGACATGAACTGGTTTACAGCAGCAAGGTGTGAAGCTGTCTTCTCATTAAAGAACACGGAGACAAATATCCAGTTTAGGGTGATTTATTTGCCGTGTTTCTTCTGGTATTTGCACACAGCAGTAAACCAGTGAAGCGCAAACAGAAGCTCAAACAGCGAGGCTCCGTCGATGTCGGGAGAGAAAAATCTCGTGGCACTTTACACAGAGCGGTGCGTTCAGTAGCATCAGAACAGCCACGGTGCATTCAAGAGCATAGGAACCATGAAATTCAGAAAGAAGCGAGCCGTGACCAAACAGAACCGAGCTCAGAAAACAAGCCAACTACACAACGACGTGAACTTTCTAACAGCTTTGTTAATAAAGGGCTCCGTACATTTTCTGTTTAAAAAACCTTTCAGAGTAAATATCTCATGTTACATCGTGGACATCCGTGACTCATAGACAAGTGCAGGCTTTATGTTTAAAAAAAATTACATATAATTTAGTGAGCACGGCTTGTATTCCGGTTCGCTCAATAGTCAGGAAATGACGGTACGTTCCTTCATCGGGAGTTCATGAAGGGAAGAAAACAAGAGTCAAAGCTCTTAGTGAATCTACAGAAAGCTACAACAAAAAACAAAACTTACAATAAATAGTCGTCTGTGTCCGTCTCCTTTTGAGGCACGTTAGAGTCAAACAATGATTCACTCAGCTCTGAAAGAAGTGAACGTTAATCAATTAAAAACATAAAGAAAAGAGATGCTTCAGGTTGTAAATGTCGGCCCTCACCTGTGCAGTCCTGAGCATCTTTGTCATTTGTCGCCTCAGCACTGTGATCGCTGCCTCTTTCCTTCTGCTCTCTGCATTCATCTTTCTCCTTGTGACGTGAAATAAAAAGTCTAAATGACATGACAAAGAATAGCTAAGCAACATAATAACAGTGTTCTCACGTGTTCTCGGTGTTTGTGTTTGCTCTTCTTCTTTTTCTCTCTCCGTCTGCTCAGATCAGGTACTATCAGAGGAGATGGGGGGCGATCAGAGTCTGTTTGAGGTGGTTCTCCTGGGCCTTTAGGTCCCTGTTGAGCAGAACCTGTTGGCTTGAGTCGTTTAGCTGCTACAGCTTCCTGCTGACAAACTGCTGACAGGGAGTCAAAGAGTCTTTTGGGATCAAGCGAGTTTCCTCGCCCGTCATCTGCTTTCACTTCCGTCTCTCTCAGAGTGGCTGTGTGTCTGGATGCCTTCAGCTCAGAGTTGTCTCTCGCCGTTTTGCTCGACAAGTGGGATATTCTTGGCTTCCTGCTGACTAGAGAGTCTGTGCCGTCCTCAGGGGCAAGTTTTGGGCGGTGTGCTGGTGAAGAGTTGGGGGTGTCTCGAAGTGGGCTGACCTGGGCCTCGGGAACCGTGAGGAGGTTTTGTTGGGGTTGAAAAAGTCTTCTGCAAAGAAAACGGCAAGAGTTCCCCCAGTTATTGTTGAACTGGTGACAGCCCAGAGGAAAACATGATCGTGGAACCATGATGATTAAGATGAAAATTTAACGCACTTTCACATAGATTTATATATTTTTGTCCTTCAGTCTCAGCCCTCAAAAGTATTGAGACCTGAAAGTGATCACTTTACAAACACATTGTTTGAAACACGTGACACATTTTAACTGCCTGTCAACAAACCATTCCACAGCAGCAGCTGGACAAGCACAGACCTTTGACCTTGATTTGAGGGGAGACTGTGTCTTTTATTTCCTAAAGCTTGACGCGTGCTCTCAGTGTTTACCTGACAAGGATGCGTTTCAGAAGTTGCTGGTCCCCGGTGGAGTAGCCTGGCCAGTCTTTCTGCAGCTCCTTAAAAAGAGCGTCCTTCAGGACAAACGTACGGTCTCTGCCACTGGGCTGGCCCACCTGCAGACAAACACGCAGGTGAGACACACATTGAACCCAACACTCCGATATTAATATCCTACAGATATCGAAAATAAATTCTTGATCAGGTATCGCGACAGTGATCGATCATAAGGACAGGAGCTGATTGCTGTTCATTTTAAAAATCTGCCAAACAAGCTAGTGAAGCGATTGTGTTTTCCTCTTATCTCAGCTCCTTTATTATTTATTTTACATTATATTTAGAATTGCTGAACCATTGGAAAGGTTTGTTGAAGTTTATTTTTTCATATCCTGATGCATGCTCAATAATCCAGGTAGAAAAATCTAAAAAATAAAATAAAATAAAAAAAAGTTAAATCTGGTCCTCTGGACATTAAAAAAAATAAATGAATAAACTGTAGAAACGTTTGGTCTTTCATACGAAAGGATGAAACTGACTGAGGAAGTCTTTCGGATGAAAGACGAAACGTTTCGTGTTTTTTTTTTTGAATGTCCAGAGGACCAGATTTAACTTTTTTAGATTTATTTTTTTACGTTTCACCAAAAGTTGTCAACCTTTGTTTTTGTCACAGTATCTTTATTATTATTATTTATTTAACATTGGGTGTTATACTCATAACTGCACTGACTGAACAAATTAAAGTTTTTACATATTTGAACAAGCTTATGAAGCTACTGGTGTGTTTAAGTGCGCTGTACTGGTGCAGAGTTTTCAATAAATTTATAATTCAGTACATTCACGTCTGCGTTTAAAGAAAACCAAATGTTTTGCGTTAATTCGCCGTTTTTCAAAAAGTCAAAGTCAACTTTATTGTCAAAACTGCAATATGTACAGGACATACACAGGATTGAAATTACATTACTCTCAGACCCCTGGTGCAACAATAACCATTTAACATTAAAACATTTAATAAACATAAGCGTAAAATGATACTGTCCTAAATTGTACAAACCGGATTCCAAAAAAGTTGGGACAAGTCCATTTTTACCACTGTGTGGCATCCCCCCTTCTTCTTACAACACTCAACAGACGTCTGGGGACAGAGGAGACCAGTTTCTCCAGTTTAGAAATAGGAATGCTCTCCCATTCATGTCTAATACAGGCCTCTAACTGTTCAATCGTCTTGGGCCTTCTTTGTCGCACCTTCCTCTTCATGATGCACCAAATGTTCTCTATAGGTGAAAGATCTGGACTGCAGGCTGGACATTTCAGTACCCGGATCCTTCTCCACGTAGCCATGATGTTGTGATTGCTGCAGAATGTGGTCTGGCTTTATCGTGTTGAAAAATGCAGGGTCTTCCCTGAAAGAGATGACGTCTAGATGGGAGCATATGTTGTTCTAGAACCTGAACATAGTTCTCTGCATTAATGGTGCCTTTCCAGGCATGCAAGCTGCCCATGCCACAAGCGCTCATGCAACCCCATACCATCAGTGATGCAGGCTTCTGATCGGAGCGTTGATAACAACTTGGGCTATCCTTGTCCTCTCTGGTCCGGATGACATGGCGTCCCAGTGTTCCATAAAGAACTTCAAATCGTGACTCATCTGACCACAGAACAGTCTTCCATTTTGCCACACTCCATTTTAAATGACCCCTGGCCCAGTGCAAACGTCTGAGCTTGTGGAGCTTGCTTAGAAATGGCTTCCTCTTTGCACTGTAGAGTTTCAGCTGGCAACGACGGATGGCACGGTGGATTGTGTTCACTGACAATGCTTTCTAGAAGTATTCCTGAGCCCATTCTGTTATTTCCCTGACAGTGGCATTCCTGTTTGAGGTGCAGTGACGTTTAAGGGCCCGGAGATCACGAGCATCCAGTAGAGTTTTACGGCCTTGACCCTTACGCATAGAGATTGTTCCAGATTCTCTGAATCTTTTGATGATGTTATGCACGGTTGATGATGATAACTTAAAAGTCTTTGCTATTTTACGCTGGGTAACACCATTCTGGTATTGCTGCACTATCTTTCTGCGCAACAATGGTGGAATTGGTGATCCTCTTACCATCTTGGCTTCTGAGAGACACTGACACTCTGAGAAGCTCTTTTTATACCCAATCATGTTGTCAGTTGACCTAATTAGTGTTAATTGGTCTTCCAGCTGTTCGTTATATGCTCAATTTCCTTTTTTTAGCCACTTATTGCTACTTGTCCCAACTTTTTTAAGATTTGTTGACACTGTGAAATTTTGAATCAACATATTTTTACTTTAAAATGTTACATTTACTCAGATTAAACTTTTGATCTGTCACCTATGTTATATTACGAATAAAATATTGACATTTGCCATCTCCACATCATTGCATTCAGTTTTTATTCACTATTTGTTTAGTGTCCCAACTTTTTTGGAATCTGGTTTGTAATATAGCAGTATAAATATATAAAAAAAGTATATCTATAAAATAAAATGAAGGTCCTGACATTGACATTTGTAGTAAAGTGACACAGCAGCATATGCAGTGAATGTGCACAGTATATGTATGAAGTCTTAGATATGGGTATAATAAAGTGACATATGCAATTAAAAAAAAAATCAGGTCTCTCTTGTAAACGAGTCCTTGAGGCTCAATGGGATTTACCTGTCTAAATAAAGGTTGAATGAAAAATAAGGCTAGTAAAAAGACCTGAATCAGATCAGTATCGAGCGACACTAAACCTCATATATCGATATCAGAAGTGAAAAAAGTGGATTGGTGCAGCCCTACTCAAAAGTAAACCTTCTTCACCTCCATCATCACAGAGTCCAGTCCGTCTTTGTCTCCTCCCGTCAGTCCGTCTTTCTGCAGCCTCAGGATCAGCTCAGGCCTCTTGTACGGCCTCAGTGCCAACAAGTGCATGACTCTCTCCCTGAGGGGCCTCTCCTGGACACCCTCCCCAGTCTTCTTAGGACTGGGACCCTTCCTCTGCTTTGACATGTCCGCCCCCCTCTTAATGCTGCTGAGGAGGGGGCGAGATGAGTGTTTGGGCTTGGTCAGTTTGGCCAGAGCCGGAGCTGGAGCTCGAACCCGCACCTTCTTTCCTGCAGGGGAAATATAAATGACTTCATGTCAACAGATACAAAACACATGTATTTCAGGCTCGATGAGATTAGACACAGGAGGAGGACTTGTTTCCATGAGCAGAAGTGTGGATGAAAAACAGAGCAGGGCTCGGTTCACCTCATCAGAAAGCCACAGTCAGATGCACAAACCCAGCAGAGCTCAGAGCAACAGCAGCTGTCTCGTTTCACAGAGAACCACACAGTTGCACAAGCATGTCGTGAGTAAGGTCGTTTTTTTTTAACTTCCCCTGAACTGACAGACTCATCAAACCTTGTACTTGTGTGTCAGTGTGTGCTTTCACCGAGGAGACAACAGCAACCGTTCAGAAGGAAGTGGTTTGGTGGTTGGATTTGCAAAAACAGCAGGAGCAGATAAAAAGACCAATCACTGGTTTTACTGGTTTTACTGTATGATTGCATCTAAAACATATTTAGTGCATGTTTGGATAAGGCTTGTAGACGCAGTGCTTGTATGTGATGAACAGAAGGTAGATGGACAGGAGAAACAAAAACACACTGTCTGTTTACTACAGCTGTTGCCAGGGCAACCGATGCTTTAGGGCTGAATGTGTTTTTAGATGTTATACCAACAGAACATGGTCTTTGCTCTTAGCTGGAGCTGGTTTTATAACCGTGCGCACTCTCTGAGTGTTTTTCTGATATTACTTGCCTTGGTAGCGTGCGCCATTTTTGATGACAATGGCCCCCCGGCTGCGCGTCTCCTCCTCGGCCTGAGCCAAGCTCTGACGAGCCTTATCGTACGAGTCATCTGTAGCGTTCACCGTCATCTTCTTCGGAATCACCCCGAGACATGACAGCTCCTCAGCAGCACTGAGGGGAGGAGGAGAGCTCAGACGTCAAGCCTCTCTTTGCATCTTACCAGTGTTCCCAGTAAAACCTGCTTTTAGGTCCTGATTGTTTAGGTACAGGCGAGGTTTCAGCAGGAAGACGTTTCCCCTGAGATCAACTCTTCAAAGATCTCTGTAGTAGAACTCACATGGTCGAATTAAACATTTAAAAGAATCTCAAGGTTTCTCAACATTTATGAAATTTTCTTCACAGCTTTCCATGACGTCAGGAACTCTGGAAAATTCTGGCAATTAAAGCCAACGAGTCACTAAAAGCAGGTGATTTTCTCACTGGAAGCTAGGCCTGTCGCAATAACAAATTTTTCTGCGCGATCAACTGTCTCAGAAATTATTGCGATAAACAATAATATTGTTTGAAATTTACAATAATTAGTAATTATTGTAAATTTTAAGAAAAAATGGTTGATTTGTTTTGACTGTAGTACATTTTTTTGACCACCGGATGGCAGTATAAGACTTTGAACTGAAGGATGGATAGTGAGGGAGCGAGCAGCGTGTCTCTAAGAAAAATGGGAAGGAGGCCCCTTGACGTGACATGGGCTGTCTCTCTTTCCTGTTTTTCAGTTCTCAAAATGGCAGATGTTCTGTGTGGTTTGAGCTCTTTAGCATAACATTTGTCACACAAAGCTTTAATGATAAAAAAAAAAAAAAAAAGTAAACAAGTTCTCAGCTTTAATGTGAATCAAACCCTTTTGTACCGAACAAAGTGAAGACTATATTTATGTTTCCGGTGACATTTCGTTGAGTTTTACCCTGAGCCGTGGTGTCTGATGCAGTCAAAACTTCCATGGGGATTGTCACGAGCAACATGGGTCACTCCAAAGGTGAAGATCCTCACTTCATCACTGTTTTCTGAACAAGGGATGGTGATTCTCTACGGGGGAGAGCACAAAACAAAACCAGCAGATTGAACATCTTGTTGGACATATAAAATATATGGAGCTAATTTACAGACTTCTTGTATGTGAGCAGTAAGTTCATCTCACCCCTTGATTTCCACTGAAACAGATGGTAGCATGTGAAGCGCAGCCCTGAAGGAATAAAGAAAAAGTTTTGTGAAGCGGCTTAATGCTACTGACGTTAGTGCAATATGTAAATGAAATAACATTTAGTCAATAAATGTTATACAGAAAGCACATTTTAAAATAAAAGCCGTTCAGCGGATGACGCAGTGACCTTGAAGTGGGGTCATGTTGATGGGAGGGGTTCACAAAAATGACAAACTTTTTGGTTTTCCACACATTTTGCACGTGTGAATACGTTTTCTTTCTTTCATAGAAGCAGGTGTGCTTTAAACGGTTTTTGTTTGTACTTTTACATCTATGGAGGCTATAATCAAAAGGTAGCTAAGCTTCTTATTTAATTCCTGAAGATGTTCTGAATGGAAAGATGTGCAGTCAGTGTATACGTTTATAAACTTTGAGTTTCAAACCTTTGAGTTATGAACATCTTCATGAACCAATAAGGAAGTGGACTCAACTTGCTAGGAGGTCCTTCCCCTGAATGACGGAGCGACTCCGTCAGTATAAGGTGACGGTTGATGGATGTATTATTTCCGTCGTGTCTTTAACCTCCTACATTACATGACCTACCCGTTAGCTTCATGATTTGTTGCTCAAGTTAGTATGGATTAAATGATCCAGTTTACATCTTCCAAAAAATATAAGGCGTTGCATTAAATAAAAGCATAAGGCAATCATTTTATTATTTATTAACCTTTATTTAACGAGGCAAATCCCGTTGATATCACAAATCCCTTTTGCAAGGGAGGGCTGGACCTGAAGGCAGACTAACATGCATGTTTTTGGGCTGTGGGAGGAAACTGGAGTACCTGTAGAAAACCCACGCCAGCACAAGAAGAACATGCAAACTCCACACAGAAAGACCCCAGGTCCAACTGGGGATTGAACCCAGGACCTTCTTGCTGTGACGCAACGGTGTTAACCACTGAGCCGCCATGCTGCCAAATGATTTGCACATCTCACAAACCATTATTTTATTCACAATGAACATAAACTGAGCCCAACTGATATATCGGTAGGGCCGATATTTTAGGCTGATATAGACATTTGGGGACCTGTCGTATCAGTGATAATTGGCGCATTATGCACCGATAAACACTTTTCATTTTCACCCCTAAAATGCTGCAAACGAGTCGTTTCCTTATTTGCATAATGTGTAATTGTACAATGTATCCAGCAGAGGGCACATGTAGACTACTTTCAAGTCATGGCCGTTCACTTTAAGTTTCACTTTCAGGGCAGTCGAAGCAGCGAGCAATACTGTGTAGAGTATTTTGCTAAACAGAGCATTGTAAGTTTATTTTAACTGATATGTAAAGTTTTAAAAAATCAACAGTAATAAATTCTCTTCAATCCTCCAAACTGCTCGTCATTAGCTACGTGCCTCTCAAGTTAGCAAGCTAACGTTTAGCATAGGCCTTGTAAAACTTTATCCAGAACAATAAATCTAACGTAGCGATAAAACACATCAGTGTTAGTAATGGTATTTTTGTTGTCCTCGATGAAATGCATTATCAGAAAAACTTACTTCTCTGCAAAGAAAATAAACTCTGCTGCAGTCCATAGTAATTAGATCTTCACCATACATACCGTCAGAGAGGCAACCTGTTGAGCTGCGCTGCTAACAGCCTGGATGGTCCAGCTCCTCTTTAGTACAGAGGACATGGCATCCATGGATCTCAAAACTAATTTTACATTCCCTTTACCTTAGTCCATTTCAAACGAACCAGAGAAGATGGCTGCGTTTCTGGATGGTGTTCACATCTGAAGAGCATTAAGCAGCATTTGTGGATTCATTCAACCTTTATTTATTATACAGGTTAATCCCACTGAGCCTCGGGAACTCATTTACAAGAGCTGGTACAGGGAACTGTGTTTACACACAATGATTGGTGGAGGTGTTCCTGAGCCCTGGGTGCAGCCATGTCCATAAAAGAAGCCGATCTATTTTTAATCCAGTTCTGCCAGAAGATAACGAACTTCTAATAATGACCTTCACTCTTCTCCTTGGAGCTCAGAGATTTCTTCAAATGCTTGAAATCTTTTGACGATCTCCTGAACTGTAGCTTATAGGATTTTTGATTTTCATTGTTCCGTTCAGGAACATTTTTCTGAAACTGTTTCACTATTTTTAGATGCAGTTTTTTGCAGACTGGTGAACCTCTGCCCATCTTTACTTCTAAGAGATTGTTCTTTTTATACCCAGTCCTCTTACTGATCTGTTGCACAGTAACCCAACTGTAAATATTATTCGTAACACTTTTAGTCTTTTGTTGCCCCATCCCAACTTTTTGGGATGTGAGGCTGCCATTAAATTCTAAAATACACATTTTTCTAAAAATAGGAACATTTCTTAGCATGCATACAGTATTTGATATGTTTACGATGTTTCCTTGCAAATAACATAAAGGTTTATGAGGTTTAATTTACATTTTACACAACATCCCAACTTTTGAGGAATTTTAAAATTGATGATGTTTGCAGAAGTTCAGTTTTAAGACAGCATTATTACAAGTCAGCAAGGACGCTGATCAGGTGGAGTCTGCACACCTTTTGATGCCTAATCATAGGGATGCACGATATTATCGGCATGGTATCGTATCGGCCAATATTAACGTTAAAGTTCAATATCGGCCATTCCATCAAAATAACTCACAGATATAAAATAAGATTTTTTTTTTGTTGGTGAGGATGTCAGATTCCGAAGATCTATGGGCTACGTTGAGCCTCGCTACATCGTCCCCAGTCTGAGACATTTTTCCGTTTCCCAAGTTACAAGTAGTGGTGCACCGATTTATTGGTCCGCCGATTTATTGGTCCGCCGATATATCGGCCCGATTTCCTTAATTTTAGGAAATTGGCCGATACTTGCATGAGAAACCGATTTTACCGATTTTTTTGTAGTTTTAACAATAATTGTCTGAACTTCATTTATATTTCAAGAGCACTGTCTCATGTCCAGTTAAAACAAGTTTGTATTGTTTCTAGGATATTGTTCAAGTGTATGTTTTCAATAAAATAAGATGGAAAATTGAAGGTGCATTGTGACCTTATAACACCTGACAGTGTCGATTATAAAACAAAATCGGTATCGGCAGCTCAGACTTTTTAGAAAACAAGAATCGGCCAGAAAACTGTAATCGGTGCACCCCGAGTTACAAGCCGTCATATCTGACGTCAACGAGAAGCTAATAGCTGATAGCACTCGGTGAGTTTTACCGCAGACATTTGGATGTTGTGTTAGCCCCGTTAGCATGATCAGTCTTACGGCGCAATGAATAGACAAAAACTTTGAAATTAAAAAGTCTGTCCTTCATGCACAGGAGTGCAGAGGATCCCACACTGCAGCTGAACCTGGAACAAGCCTCCACAAGTGAGACAGCATCACAGGTGACTAATGCTAATAAATAACATTTAACACTTTTCATTTAATATAAGTTAAAGTGCTATGCATATCATATGACTGTTACTGAATATACGTCACCAGCTCTTACAGCTGTTACACAATTTTTTGTAGCAAATAAACCTAAATAAGAGGATATGTTTTGACAAAGGAACGTATATAAAATATCGGTATCGATAAGTTTTAACATATCGGATATCAGCCAGATATTCAATATTGTGCATCCCTACCTAATCAGTCATTAAAAGGTGGAACAACAGCTTTGCGTTTTGAAGCCCATATATTATAAATCACTTTTCTTTTTTTTTTTACAATAAACCAGCAGTTTAGTTGTTTGTGGTGTATTTATCCTATAAATGATTGATAAAACATACAAACTCTTACTGCTTTAAGTAATTGTAAATAGTACTTTATTTAGCACATTAGCACTCTAAATAGCATGGACCTCTTAAATTAAAAGATCCATGCTATTTATTTAGAGTGATGCATACTCCCAGTAGGAAACATTTCCCACTCCAGGAAATGGGTTTATTCACTTCTTGCCACTTGCTATGGTTCATGCGTGGATAAAGAGGACTGGTCCAGTGCAACGTCAGCATCAGTCGAGTCTGAAGACAACAGTAATAAAATAAACGTGTATTTCGCAGATCAGACCTTTGCATTATTTAAACAGAGCTCTTGTTAAAAGGTCAACACATTGTTCCAGCAGCTTTCCACATAACAGCACCCTGACAATGTAATAAAACGGCTGCAGGCGTAAGTTGGCCTGCAGGAAAACGAAAGGATGACGACAAAGAGACGCGCTCGCCACACCCGGATGGAAAGTATGCAGAAGGATCCGACTGACCTTTCCCTGGAGGGGATTTTGTAAATCCACCTGTTGATGAGTGCACAGACTGAGCAGAGTCTGGGCCTGCAGCATGTGCAGGTTTGCATCTTTATTATCCTGGATCTGTGCTCAGATGGGTCCTGCACATTGTAACTGTGCATGTGTGTGTCGGGTGTTCCCCCTGCTCATCACAGCATGACTGCAGCAGGGTGGTTGGAGCAGAAAAGACGTGTCTGTGACTGCAGCAGGGTGGTTGGATCAGAAAAGACGTGTCTGTGGCTGCAGC